GCTGTTGCTCAGAGCTCAAACTCTTGAGCGAGCTCTTAACCAACTGAGCCACTTGGCCGGCCCCAGGGAAGGGGAGTTTTACAGAAAAACTTTAGAGGCAACAACTGAAGGAAAAATTCAGCATTTCATGTCTTTCATGTCTGTATTCATTCTGTATTCCCCCAGAGTGAATTGTTTGCACAGTTGTTCCTTTTACCTGTAGCCTCCTTGTGTTTTCCAAAATGATGGAGGGACAAGCAAACGCTGACACCCCTGGGACCACCACCATCATCCCCAGTCCTGAGTCCCAGTCACTCACCACAGTTTCTGGAGTCTGCAGGTGGGGTGTCTCAGCCCCTCACACAGCAGCCACATGCCCTGGTCTCCCAGGTCATTGAAACTCAGGTCCAGCTCCCAGAGGTGACGGTTGAGCTGCAGCACAGTGGACAGACCCTCACAGGCTGCGGAGCTGAGCCGGCAAATGCCCAACCTGGAAAGACATGATGCACAGAGCAGAGTTGACATCTCTGGGGACATCTCCTGGGGAAGCTCATGTGCCAGGTACTGTGCTCAGTGCAGAGAGAACGGTAGACTTCATCTTTACCCTCGAAAGAGAAAACGAGGGTGAGGAAGAAAGGAGCAGGCAGGTAGGAAGGTGGAAAGAAGAGACAAATTTAAATAAAGGGGGGGGGGGAATAGGAAGGAACACAGGAAGACTAGTATAAAGAAAGAATAATATTTATTAGCTAGGACTGCTGTTAACAAGCACCATAGACCAGGGTGGGGGTGGGCGGTAAACAGCTGAAATTTACTGTCTCCCAGTTCTGGAGGCTGGAAATCTGAGATGAAGGGGTCAGCAGGATTGGTTCCTTCTGAGGCTGTGAGGGAAATTCTGTTCCAGGATTCACCCCCGCCCCCCAACTCCCACCCGACTTCTGGGGGTTTGCTGGCGATCTTTGGCATTCTCTGGCTTGTAGATGCATCACCTCATCTCTGCTTTCTCCTCCACATGGCATTCTCATGTATGTGTGTCTGTGTCCAAATTTGCCTTTTTCATAAGAAGCCCTCATTAGGGGCCCACCCTACTTCAGTATGACCTCATCTGAGCTAAGTACATCTGCAGTGACCCATTTACAGGCTGAATTGTGTCCCTCCCAAATTCATTTGTAGAAGCCCTAACCCTTAGTGCTTTAGAATATGACTGTATTTGGACATAGGGCCTTTCAAGATGTGATTAAGTTAAAATTAGGCCATTAAGGCGCACCCTTATCCAATCTGACTGGTGTCCTTGTGAGAGGAAATTCGGACACACAGAAACACCAGATGTGTGTGTACAGAGGGAAGACCATGTGAGGACACAGTGACAAGGTGACCATCTACGAGCCAGGGAAAGAGGTCTCAGGAGAAACCAAACCTGCAGACACGTTGATCTTAAACTTCCAGAACTGTGAGAAAAGAATTGTCTATTTTTTAAGCCGCCCAGGCTGTGCTATTTTGTCATGGCAGTCCAAGCAAACTAACAGATTGATATAGATCTTATTTCCAAATAAGGTCACATTCTGAGATACTTGGGGTCAGAACTTCAACATACAAATTATTTGTACATATGAACCCATAACACCAAGTGATTTATAGGTATCACTTCATTTGCTCCTTATAATAGCTGCTAGGAAGAAAATTATATCATTATCCATTGTTATAATGTGTGTGAGGGCCGAGGCTCCGAGTGGTGTCATCACTGCCCAGGTCTCAGAGCTAGGGTCCATGTCCAAGACTTATATGTCATGCTTAACCACTGTCTATGCAGTTAGTGTGGCCGCCGTTGCAATTGGAAAAGTATTTGGGGGATTAAGAGAGTCAGAGTGCTAGTATATTACATAGTTTTCTTCCCCTAATTTTCAGAGATCCTTGCATTTCCTTAGATATAGCTACTATACTGTGAAAACCTGAACTCCTTCCTTTGAGTGTCAGTGTTCTCAGGCGACATGTGGGATCTATATAAATATGAATACTTGACTGACCAACTGCCACTGGAAAAGAGGAAAGGACCCAGCTTTGGCCAATGAGAGCCATGTTGGGGTAGATGGACCAATACATCCTAAGATTTCCATGGAAGAATAAATGTTTACAAATAGCTATGAAAAGTTGCACACACACAAAAACAAAAGACGTAATCTTCCTAACAATAAGGCATATTACAAACCATAGCAATTACAACAGTGAAAAATTGGAATAGGAACAGAGACAAATGGAAAGGATAGAGGCAAACACTGTATAGGAAAATGATTTATGATAGAATCGGCATTCCAAATCAGCAAGGAAAAGGTGGATTCTTTATTAAATGGGGTTACAAAAACTGAAGAGAAAGACATTGGACCCCCCCTCCCTGCCTAACTTCACATAAAAACATAAAGAAGAAATTGAGTGTGTCTTGGACATTGCATTGGCAAAGGATTTCTTAGACATGTCACAGAAATATAAATCAGAAATATGTATGGGTTTGACCTCAAAGCATAAAGATTTCTGCTTGAAAGTATCCACGAACAAGGTGACAGACTGAAGATCTGCTTCGTATACAGCAAATAAAGGATTAGTCTTTAAAATATTTAAGGGAATGCAAATCAAGACAGCTACAGAACACATACTAAGAAATAAATTGCATGCATAAAAAATAAATTACATGCACAAGCAATTCACAAAGTGGGAAAACCAAAAAAGCTAATGAACACATGGAGAGATAGAAGTTCAACTTCACTAATTATGAGAAAAATACAATTGAAGAATATTTTCCACCCACCAGAGTTTGAAAACTAGAAAGTTGGAAAACCATAAAGATATGGAGAGAAGCAGGAGTGTTCTTACTTTTGTCTTTCAAGAGCAATTTGGAATTCTTCTGAGATAGCCAGTGGGCAAATTCATCTGATCTTGCAATTCTATACCCCTAGGTGGAGTCTTATAATTGTTCAGAAAGACACATTGACAGGAATATACGTCACAACACTGTACATAACAGCAGTTATTTGGGAACAACCCAANAGTAATTTCTGGTCTTTCTAGATGCCTTCAGTTAATGGGTTCAGCATGATGTACTCATGCCACTCTTGTGAGGTTTTCCAACAGTCTTAAGTTCCCTAGTTAAGGTCCCCTGTAGTGAAATTCTGGCTGGTTTCCTTCATGTTTTCATCCCAATCCTGGTGTAGGTTACTGGCCAGCATAATTGTGGCAGGTGTCCAGTCATGGTTTGATGAGCTCCAGTTAGGAGGCAGAAGATCGCAAGAGTTGGTGGTGGAGCTGTTGGCCTCACTAGCCTTCCAAGGTTTCTAGTACACTTACTCGTACTTAGTAGCACCATTACTCTTTGAGAAGAGGGTTTCTCAACTTCGCTACTAGTGACATTTTCAGTTAAATACTTTGTTGTAGGGGCTCTCGTGTATGGTGGGATGTTTATTTAGCAGGATCCCTGGCTTCCCTCGTGTCCCCTACTCCCACGTCTGACATTGCCAGTGCCCCCCTGGCTGAAAGCCTCTGCTCTAGAATCTGTTCCTGCCCCAAATTCTCTCCATGGCACCAACATGCCCAAAACTAGAGCCTCAAACTCCATCACGCGTGGATTATAGAGACCTTAAAAAGGACTTCTGCCTATGAGTTTGTCTCTTGAGGAAATAGAGCCTGATCATGTTGATTAGTGGGTCCTGGGATGTTCTTCCTCTGTCCTGACTTAGAAGGAGCAGCAGACAGAACCGTCAGCAGCCAATGTCCAGGTAAGGTTTTGTTACGCGGAGAGCTGCCAGTCTCCTGTGGGTCACTTTATTCAGGTCCATTCCAAATAACCTGGGGACAGAATGGCAAATATTACTCCAGGCCACTGTTGGGGCATTATTCAATTGATATATCAAATTTATCATGCATCTTGTTCTGTTAAAATAATTCCATTATTTAGTGTTTCATTTAAAACCAAACCTTAAAAAACAGGCTTACTCTAATAAGCTACACGTCATTTTAAGTCCCTCACCAGTGTTAACACATTTAATTTGTAACTGTTACATGAAGCAGCAACTATTATCATTTTTATAGTTGAGTGTACTAAGGTGCTAAAAGGTTGAAGAATTTGCAAAAATATACCACAAAAATTGCAAAGTGATGTAATTAGAATTCGAGGCTGAGGTCAAATATATGGTGATGGAAGGAGAACTGACTGGGTGGTGAACACAATGTGATATATAGATGATGTATTATAGAAATGTACACTTAAAACCTATGTAATTTTACCAACCATTGTCACCTCAATACATTTTAATTAAAAAAAAAAAAAAAGAATTTGAGGCCGAGTTATTACAGATTCTCACTAAGCTACAATGGCCTCATTAGACAGATTAGGAAATAGATACTCAGCACATTCTTCAAGGTCACACAGCCAGTAGATAATAGTGGCATCACCCATGATGTAAAGTACGGCCCTCTGTATTCCACACGAATTGCATATATGAGGTGAACGAATGACAAATGAAATCTGAAATTTTTAGATTATTTGTCTGTCCAAACTCGGGGGGTCTTAGTTATTGACCTTCACTCCCAAACCCAAGCCCCATGTCCTGCCTCCTCCAGAGGCAAGAACTTTCTCTCACCAGAGGACCCGAAGTTTGCAGCCAGGGTGACTGAGCCGATTGCACAGCAGCCTAACGCCAGTGTTGCCCAGGGCATTGTTGGTCAGATAAAGCTCTTTCAGTGTCTGGTTGACCCCCAGGGTGAAAGAAAGACCCTCGCAAGCTTTGGCAGTGATGCCACAGCTGTCCAGCCTGTTGAAGATAAAGAGTGGTTGAAAAACCACCAAGAGCTACTTTTGGGAAATCTTATGTTCATAGGGAATCAGGGTAAAGTTTTTAGGGGGCTAGTTTACAGGAAATCCCAGTAGACCCAAACCGATCCAGGTCAAGGTGCTTCATGGCAAGCAGTTAAAAGATGCATTTAAAGGTGCTCCTCGGGGGCCGGCCGAGTGGCTCAGTTGGTTAAGAATGCAAGCTCTGAGCAACAGGTCACCGGTTCAATTCCCACATGGGCCAGTAAGCTGCGCCCGAGCCGAGCTAAGCTGCTGCTGAGCTGCCAACAGGTGTCACGATGGCTCAGCTGGTGAGAGCACATGCTCCTAACAACAAGGTTGCTGGTTTGACTGGCACATAGGATGGTGGGCTAGGTCCATCCACAACTAAGACTGAACACCACACTTGAGCTGAGCAGCCGCAAGCTTCCAATGGGCGGCTAGGTGGTGACTGGACTTGGAGCTGAGCTAGCCGTGCCCTCCACAGCTAAGACGGAAGGACAACAACTTGTCTGTTCCCCTTCCCCAATTCCCCAATAAAATCTTTAAAAAAAACAAACAAAACTCACATACAGTGCCCATGAGAGGGAGCAGTTGGTTGCCTGCTGGATCAGGAGGCAGTATTGTCACCCCAGCATAACCCTAGTAGCACCAATTAAGGGAGAAATGCTATCCCTAAGTCCCCACCTTCATTCTCGTTACTCGATGACCCACATAAGCAAGACTCAGAAATGGAAGACAATTTTAAAAAGTCGATATGTCTCACTTCATTCTACGTCTTTCAGGTTGGGAGTCAGGCTGGTCTTGGAAGAAGGAGGAAGTGATAATTCACATTTGACTGGAGTTTATTATACTTTGAACTTTTATTATATGAAGATAAATGGCTGAAAAGCCAAGTATCGGCCTAAGTAAATGTCCAGGGAAGGGGAGTTTTGTTTT